TCAACACTTCTAAACACACAATTACGTACCATGAACACTTATCCTGCTACAATTAGTTTACAGCTGATATAATAATTTTGATTTTTATCTTTAAAATTTTTGAGAAAAAAAAAGCTGGCAGTAACAGTAACATCACTCAATGAGATAAAAGTTAATTTGAAGCATATTTTTCCGCTGAACAGTTCATATTTTTATAGTTCACAATTTCTCAACCAACTAACATGTTAGCAAATTCAACAAACTTAAATAACCCCCCTTTACTGTATCTGCTGCCTCCTTTTATAAATCAGCCTTCTTTATATCAGTTCTATTTCAACGATATTTTCAACACAAAGCCTCTTGTCATCACTGCTGTCGTTTTTGCTACTGTTAAGGGATGACTGAGACAACAACGAAAGCAAATAACATATGAAATCGCGTCAAATTCAAGAAAAAAAAGAGGCCTAAACTCTGAAAATAAAATGATATTCTATTAGAAAATATTGTTCAAAAAAGCAAAAAAAAATTTTTTCCAAAGTTAAAATCCGGTCTGTTTACTGGAAGAAAAGCACATGAAGAAACAATCATTTTGGTCTACAGCGTTAGCTCTCCACAAAAAAAACCCTACAAATTTCTCCTGCTTTCAAAAGTTTCATTTCATCAGTTTCTTAATTTAAAAGCAACCATTATAAATTACTTCCTACCACCTTTTCCTCCAATATAAAAAGAAAAAAAAAACTAGGTGGAAAAATACACGAAGCCGAACAACTACTGACGTCGGCCATCCAAGATCCTAATAGCCAAACTAAAAACAAAGAAACACTACAACAATGCTTATAATCAACGATTCACAGATTTACCTAATTTAGTTTATCAGGCCTCAACAACAGAAAAACCCCAAAATGACATTTTTCAACCATAACGTGATGCAAACTAAAAATCATCAAAATCTTCTAACAATTCTAGCTAACCCATTAGTGGACCGGAATTTGTCATCTTCATATTTGTCTAAATTGCCTTCAGTGCCCATAAAGCTGATGAATTTAAACTTACATTCTGTTATCAAAACACTTATAAGTGTTACTGATTGTACGACACATATTTTTTATAAGCTACTCGTAATTTTTTGGCGAAATCCAGTTTGAATGTTAAAATTAAAACTTTTTTTCTTAGCATTAAAGCGATCAGCCAAAAAAAAAAAACGTCGAGCTTATCAAACGTCTGTCCAACCATGGAAAAATTTATTAACTCAATGGTAACTGTAGCACAAAACACGTATTTGCATCTCGTTCATACAAATTTAAAGTAATAACATCTTAGCAGTTTTATAGTGAATCTGTAACATTTTTGCGCAATCACCAAATTTTCCAAATAAACTGTTTTTGTTTTTTGTTTTTTAAATGCTTAGACTTGGAAGTACTTTCATATTCAGAATAGATCAGATTTCAAGAATTTTATTGTCATGCTGCATTAATGCTAAATTATGTAAAGAAAAAATCAAATTAAAAAATTCCATACCATTTCTCTCTCTCAATAATTTAAATATTACGCTATGATATCAGATCAACATTTGATTTTCTATTAAGTGGCAGAACTATAAGCTAAGCATTCACCTATCATAAAAATTTATCAAACCATTTATTCAAAGTAAGACATCTATTTTTCAGCAACTGCTAACGATTATCAGCATACCAATGAACTGCTAAATTCGAACGCAAGTTTAAAAAAGGTTTTATGAATACAAACAAAACGTTCTTTTGAAGCGCATAACCGTGGTTTAGCTATTCATAAATCACTTGCAGATCGCTTAGCAAATTTTCTATTGTAACTTTTCCTCCCTTCAAACAGCAAAATATTTGAGCTAAGTTGCTCATAATTCCTGTCTCTAACATTCCAATTCTGCCCTCCCTTTTTAGGTACTCTATTCAGCTATGCTTCGAATCAATTAACTCCTCTTTGATAACTCAAATCTGTTTAGTAACCTAACATTTGCTCAACAACCAACGGTAGCTTGTTCTTTTCTTTGTACCAAGAAAAGAATTTATTGTTAAACAAGTTTGAATAAAATCCCCTCCCTTTATTCTCTTCAACAAGCTCACCCTCACAATCTTAACAGTCAAAACAAAATTGTAATTAAATTAGGGATCAACTGAAAACCCTACTGGAACCAGGAACATAAGCTTGTAGAGAAATACTCAAGTTAAGCAGTCTTTTAAATTCTGTACAGGTGGACTCCACTAACAAGTTACATTAAGATAGACGATTTGTAGTGATCTTGGAGGTTTGGTTAATACCCACAAGAAACTTGCCTTAAATCAAGTTACTGTAAGAAACAGGAAGTCCCGAAACAGTAGTCAAAACCAAGGAAAGAGTAAATATCAAAAAGATCTACCTGTATTGGAAAAGAACATAGTTCTCAAAAGCAGAGGAATTCCTGACTTCGATAAAACCGAGGATGAATTCTTGAAAGGAAAATGTTCAACACTACCAAGCAT